CGAAGCGGATATGGTATATGATGATCAATAAATATGTGATAGGGATGATGATGATGACAATGACAATGGCGATGACGACGGTGATGGCGATGATGCTAATGATGATGGTGATGATGATGATGGTGCTGATGATGGTGATGGAGAAGACGGTGATGATGATGGTGATGACGATAAGGACGAGGGGGAGGATCACCCCTGTAAGCGCGCCGTGTCGCTGTATGTGCAGGTGCATGTGTAGGTGTATGTGTACGTGTTTGTGTATGCGACTGCGTGAGAGCATGTTTGTGCGTGCGTGCGACCGGGCGGTGTGTGCGTGCGTGTGCGTATGCGTGTGCGCGTGCGCGTGCGTGTGAGCGTGTGCGCGTGCGCGCGTGTGCGCGTGTGCGCGTGCATGCGTGTGCGCGTGTGCGCGTGTGCGCGCGTGCACCTAAACGCGTGTGCGCTCGTGCGCGTGTGGGCGCGTGCGCGTGTGCGCGTGTGCGCGCGTGCGCGTGTGCACGAGTGCGCGCGTGCGCGTGTGCGCGCGTTCGCGTGTGCGCGCGTGTGTGTGTGTTTGTGTGTGTGCGCTTGTGCGCGCGTGCCCGTGTGCGTGCGTGCGTGTGCGCGTGTGCGTGTGTGTGTGTGTGTGTGTGCTTGCGCGTGTGCGTGTGTGTGTGTGTGCGCGCGCGTGCGAGTGCGCGTGCGCTCGCGCGTGCGCGAGCGTGCGTGTGCGCGTGAGAACGTGATCGCGCGTGCGCGCGCGCGCGTGCGCGCGTGCGCGTGCGCGCGTGTGCGCGTGCGCGCGTGTGCGCGTGAACGCGTGTACGCGTGCGCGCGTGCGCGAGTGTGCGCGCGTGCGCGCGCGCGTCGGCGCGCGCGCGTGCGCGCTTGTGCCCGCGAGTGCGCGCGTGCGCGAGCGCGCGTGCGCTCGCATCCGCGCGCGCGCGCGTTGTTTGTTGCGAGTGAACGTGCGCTGCCAGATTGCGCGCGCAGCAGCGCCGAGGCCACGGCGCCACCGAGCCCTGTTCCCGATGGGCCGCCCTCCAGCACCGCGACTACGTCGCAATGTCGGCTTGCGATTGGCAAAGGGACCCCCCCTTCGCTGATGAATAGACCCCGCGGGGCGCGATGCCTTGCTTTGATCGCGCGCGCCAGGGGGCAGGAGGAGAGAGGGGGGGGGAGAGGAAGAGGAGGAGGTGAGGGAGGTGGGGGAGGAGCAGGAGGAGGAGGAGGAGAAGGAGGAGGAGGAGCTGGTTTCTGCCACCCCGCCGAGGGGCCAGTCCTTGACGCATGGCCGCTTTCGGCGCCAGGGGGCGCTTGGAAAATCGGCGACGCGAGCTGCTTGGCAAATCCCATCTTGCCGCGCCCCACTTTCGCCCGGCCCGCCTTGCCCGCAGGCCCGCGTCGGTTCGACAGAAAGAGGGGCGCCCTGGCTCGCCCTCGCCTCCAAACGCCCCCCCCTGCTCCCCGTTGGCGGCCGGGCGTCGGCGTAAATCGCCGGCGCCGCCCCGTTGATTTTCAATCTGGCGGGCGCCGCCCCGCGATTCGCCCGAGCAGGGGAACTATATTTCAACGCGCGCCCCCCGCGGATTTGTTAACCACAAGCTGACATCAGGCGAAGGCGGCGACGGCGAGGGCGGCGCGCGGGCGCAGCGCCCCGCGGCGCCGCGCCGCGAGCTGCTCTAGGAGCGCTCGCCCCACGCGGACTTGGCCGAAGCCCCGCGCCGACTTGGCGGTGGCCCGGCGGGCCGCAACGCCTCCAGCATGCGCCGCGCCTCCGCAGCGTGCCGCGGCGTCGCCCCGACCGGCTGCTCGACCAAGCTCACCGCGAGCGCCTGGACATCGTCGAGAGTCGCCGCCGAGCCGCCTGCTCTGCCAGCAGCCGGCGACGAAGGCGCCGCCGCCAGCTCCGCCGCCGCCGACGCCGAAGCAGCCGCGGGGCCACCGCCCGAGCACGGCTGCCGCCGACCCCCCTTCCTCCGCCGCCAGCCAGCGGGAGGCGAGGCCGTCCGCCCACTCGTCGCCCAGGTCGGACCCGAGGTCCGACGCCGCGATGCTCGGCGCCGCGGGCGCCGCTCCAGCCGCCATCGCGAGCCCCGTCGCCGCGCGCGCGGCCTTCGCAACATCCGCCGCGCCAACTGCCGCGGCGGCGCGGGGGCCCCCCGCCGCCAGCCCGCCCGCGACGGTCTCCGCCGAGCCGCCGTCGTCGCTGCCGCCGACCGCGAACCCGCCGCCGCAGAAGTAGGGGGCCCCAGGAGCGCGACGACGCTCGGCCTGACGTCGGCGCCTGCGCCTCCCGCGCCTCCCAAGCCGCGGCGGTAGGCGGCGCGCCGGGCGCGCCATCGGGGACAGGCACCGCGGCGGGCGTCGCGGCAGGTTGCGCGGGTGCCTCGGCCAGCCTGAAGAGGCTAACCAATGCCGCCGCACGCGCCACCGCCGCAACCGCCTTGCGGGGTGCCTTCGCAAGAGCCGCCCCGCGGACCGCCGCCTCGACCAGCGAAGCGGCGGCAGCGATCGGCGCGCAAGCCCCTCTAGCCCCGCGCGCGACCATCGGGGCGGCCGGGGTGGAGGGCATGCAAACGCTTGAGCCAAAATGTGTGCGTGCGTGCGTATGTGCGCGCGTGCGCGTGTGCGCGTGCGCGCGTGTCCGCGTATGCGCTTGTGCGCGTGTGCGCTTGTGCGCGTGTGCGAGTGCGCGCGTGCGCGCGTGTGCGCGTGTGCGCGTGCGCGCGTGTGCGCGTGCGCGCGTGTGGGCGCGTGCGCGTGGGCGCGCGTGCGCGCGTGCGCGTGTGCGCCCGTGCGCCTGCGCGTGTGAGCGCCAGTGCGCGTGGGCGCGCGTGCGCGCGTGTGCGCGTGTGCGCGTGTGCGCGTGTGCGCGTGTGCGCGTGTGCGCGGGCGCACGTGCGCGCGGGCGCGTGGGCGCGAGCGCGCGTGGGCGCGTGGGCGCGTGGGCGCGCGTGCGCGCGTGCGCGTGTGCGCGTGTGCGCGCGTGCGCGTGCGCGCGTGTGCGTGTGCGCGTGTGCGCGTGAGCGCGTGCACGCGTGTGCGCATCTGCGCATCTGCGCATCTGCGCGTCTGCGCGTGTGCGCGTGTGCGCGTGTGCGCATCTGCGCGTGTGCGCGTGTGCGCGTGTGCGCGTGTGCGCGTGTGGGCGTGTGCGCGCGTGGACGGGCGCGCGTGTGCGCGCGTGGGTGTCGCTTAGCTTTCAGCGGAAGAGGTTCGCTCTCGCCCTGCAGATCAAAAAAAGTGCTCGCGTGGACGTGTGCGCGAGTGCGCGTGTGCGCGCGTGAGTGCGCGCGTGCGCACGTGAGTGCGCGCGTGCGTGCGTGCGCGCGTGCGCGCGCGTGCGGGTGCGCGTGCGCTTGCGCGTCCGCCTGCGCGTACGCGTGTGCACGCGCGTTCGCGTGCTCTTGCTTGCGCACACGTGCGTGCGCATGTGCGTGTACGTTTGCATGCGCGTGTACGTGTGCGTGTGCGTGCGAGCGTGCGCGCGCGTGCGCGTGCGCTTGCGAATCCGCGTGCGCGTGCGCGTGCGCGTGCGCGTGCGCGTGCGCGTGCGCGTGCGCGTGTGCGTGCGCGTTCGCTTGCTTGCGCACACGTGCGTGTGCATGTGCGTGTACGTTTGTGTGTGCGTGTACGTGTGCGTGTGCGTGTGCGTGTGCGTGTGCGTGTGTGTGTGTGTGTGTGTCTGTGTGTCTGTGCGCGTGGGTGTAAGTGGTTGTGTGTGCGTGTACGTGTGTGTGTGTGTGTGCGTGCGTGCGTGCGTGCGTGCGTGCGTGCGTGCGTGCGTGCGTGTGTGTGTGTCTGTCTGTGTCTGTGTCTGTGTCTGTGTCTGTGTCTGTGTCTGTGTCTGTGTCTGTGTCTGTGTCTGTGTCTGTGTCTGTGTCTGTGTCTGTGTCTGTCTGTGTGTGTATTTGTGCGTGTGTGTGTGTGTGTGTGTGTGTCTGTGTCTGTGTCTGTGTCTGTGTCTGTGTCTGTGCCTGTGTCTGTGTCTGTGTGTGTGTGCGCGCGTGCGTGTGCAAAGACGGATCCGCTCGAGACTGGCCCCCAGCCCCATACGCCCAGGCTGCTACCACCAAAAGCGCCAGACAAACTACGGAGCCCCTTTTCTGGCCCCCGAGGCGCGCCCGAGGTGCACGAGTAGAGTCGCAGTCGCAGACGCCGCCTGCTCCGAGCCCGAACCGTTCCTTGCGTCGGCGCTTGTCTGTGCCGCCCTCTACCCGAATTGCTGCCGATCTACGCGCCGCCGTGGCGGCGATGGGGGGCGCCAAGACGTTCCCCAGGGGGAGGGCGGGGGCGAAGGCCGGCGGAAGATGAGGAGGAAAAGGACGAGGGGGGGGGGCGGGGAGAAGGGTGGAGGGAGGAGGAGGAGGAGGAGGTGGAGAAGGAGGAGGACCAGGAGGAGGGTGGCGACGGGGGGATCGAGGACGGAGGAAGGGGATCTAGGGGGGAGAAGGACAAGGAGGAGGAGGAGGAGGAGGAGGAGAAGGACAGGGAAGGGGTATGGGGGGGGAAGGGAGAAGGACGACGCGGAGAACCCCCCCTCCTGAGAAGGAGGGGGATGGAGGAGGGAAGAGGGATGATGACGGGAGGGTGAGAAGGAGGCGGAAACGAAGGATGCGGAGGGAGATGAGGAGGACACGGAAGCAGGAGGAGAAAGTGAGGAGGCGGAGGAAAAGTAAGTGGACCTGAAGACCCCCGATGCCTTCGTCTTTTCACGACGAGGGCTCCTCGAGCGCGTGACCCCGTCCCTGGGACTCGCTCTGCGCCACTGGCCGCGCACTTTGGTGTGGTACTGCGAACCCCACGAACACGTCCAGGGGTACGTTTTGGCCAGGATCTCGAGGGAAACCGGGACGTGGCGACCAGAGCGCCCCATGAGGCCTAACAAGACATGTCCAGGGGTGCGTCTTGGCCAGGATCTCGAGGGGAAACGAGCCGTGGAGACGAGAGCACCCCAGGAGGCCCAAGAAGGTATAACAGATCCTCCTCGGGATCGCCGCCGCCCGCCGCCCCGGTGCCGCTCGGGAGCATCGTCAGCTTGAAGCAGTTTGTCTTCAGCCGCGCCGGCGTGCGGGACATCTGCGAGCCCTGCATGTGCGGGGGCCTCGGGCAGGCGGGGATCGGGGGAGGAGAGCGGGAGGAGGAGCGAAGAGCGAGGGTCGGTATCTTCAGGTCTCCCGCGTTCGGCAAATCGTGGCCTCGGAGGGAGCTCCTCGTGGCCACGGTGGGCGCAGCTCGGGAAGCTGGCCAGGATGACGTCCAGAAGGGTTCACCCGCCGAGTGGCGGAAGTCTCCGACAATCAGAAACTGGTGGTCAGAGCGAAACGTGACACGGGATAACTCCCAGTTGATCCACATTGTGTGTCGCAACCGATTGCACGGTCGCATCCCATCGCGTCGGCAGATCCCGAGATCTCAGTCTCGACATGCAAATCACCCAAAAGTCGTGCATGCTGGTTCGTGTGTGAAGACGTTCAGCCCGACAGCAAACACAATAATAACGCACTCGACCAGGGGCGTTCAGTACACGACGGGACACTGGAAACTCGCAGACCCCCCAAAGAACGTCAGGACGCTTGCGAAATCATTTTGGAGCAGGTCGAGATCCATCAGGACGGCTGAAGTCAGCCAGGGGTGTGCGGCACGAGCGCGCTGGGACGTGAAGGCGGGCGAACACGCGGAATACGCATGGTACACGCGCACACTCCCTGGTCGCAGCGGCCGGGCGACTTGCCAGGGCGTCGGGCGCCAGCGGGGCCGGAGCCGCGCGCGCACGCACTGCCGGCGGGAAGACGGGCAAGGGAGAGCTGGGCCCTGCGGGGGGGGGGGGGGGGGGCAGAGGGCGCGCGCCAGAGTCAGGCGGGCAGGGCGCAGCCCGCAAGGGGCTTGGGAGACAGGCGCAGCGGCACAGAAGGCGGGCCGCAGAGGCCGTGCCTCGGGAGGAGAACGGCAAGGGGGAGAAGGGGGCGGCGCCGACGGGAGAGAAGGGGGGCGGTGAGGACGAGGGGGGGCACGCTCGCAGCATCTGACGTCCCAGAAGCGGCAATTCAACGCCATGCTGAGCGGGCATTGGCGAGAAGGCGGGGGGAGAACGCGGGACAGACGGGAGCCCTCACGAGACGCGCAATCTGACCACTTCGAGCTGCGTCCTCGGATAACGACATGGCACCAAGGCAGTGCCGCCCCAGTCCGCCTCCGGAGGGCCCCACCCCCACGCGAGACACACCCCCCCACGCACGCCAGAGCGAGAGACCGTGGCCGTGAGAAGAACGGGCGGGGGACCCGATTGAGCCGCCCGCAGGCGACCCGCCCACCCCCGCGCGCGCCAGGGCGGGGAACCCAGAAATTATCCCGGCAAAGCAACCTAACAGCGATGTGTAGAAGCATATCTGAAAGCATTCCCCTTAAGATTCAGATGAAAATCCAGTTGTCGAATTCTGCTGTTCTCGCAGTCGTAGTCGCATTCGCGATGACAGTCGCAGCGGCAACGGCAGTCGCAGTCACAGCCTCAGCCTCAGCCTGCCTCCTCCTCCTCCCTCCTTCTCCTGCTCCTCCTCCTCCTCCTCCTCCTCCTCCCTCCTCCTCCTCTTCCTCCTGCTCGTCCTCGTTCTCGTCCTCCTCGTCTTGCTCGTCCTCCTCCTCCTCGTCCTCCTCCTCCTCCTCTTCCTCCTCCTCCTCCTCCTCCTCCTCCTCCTCCTCCTCCTCCTGGTAGTCCTCCCCCTCCCCTCCTCCTCCTCCTCCTCCTCTTCCTGGTCGTCCTCGTTCTCGTCCTCCTCGTCTTGCTCGTCCTCCTCCTCCTGGTGTTCTCTCCTCCTCCTCCTCCTCCTCCTCCTCCTCCTCCTCCTCCTCCTCCTCCTCCTGGTGGTCCTCGTTCTCCTCCTCCTGGTGCTCTCCCCCCCCCTCCTCCTCCTCCTCCTCGTCCTCCTCCTCCTCCTCCTCCTCCTCCTCCTCCTCCTCCTCCTCCTCCTCCTCCTCCTCCTCCTCCTCCTCCTGGTAGTCCTCCCCCTCCCCTCCTCCTCCTCCTCCTCCTCCTCTCCTCCTGGTCGTCCTCCTCCTCCTGGTCGTCCTCCTCCTCCTGCTCGTCCTCCTCCTCCTCCTGCTCGTCCTTCTTCTCCTGCTCCTCCTGCTCCTCGTCCTGCTCCTGCTCGTCCTCGTCCTCCTGGTCTTGCTCGTCCTCCTCCTCGTCGTGCTCTTGCCCCTGCTGAAAATGTGGCCCAGGAATGGGAGTTCTGGGAAGTCGAAGAGCACGAAGTTGCCTACAGTTGGCTACGGGCATTCAAAATGTGGCCCGGGAATGGAGTTCTGGGAACTCGAAGAGCACGAAGTGGCCTACAGTTGGCTCCGGGCATTCAAAATGTAGGCCCGGGAATAAAGTTCTGGGAACTCGAAGAGCACGAAGTGGCCTACAGTTGGCTCCAGGGCATTCAAAATGTGGCCCGGGAATGGAGTTCTGGGAACTCGAAGACCACGAAGTGGCCTACAGTTGGCTCCGGGCATTCAAAATGTGGCCCGGGAATGGAGTTCTGGGAACTCGAAGAGCACGAAGTGTGGACAGTTGCATCCGGTTATTCTATGTGGCGTTCTGGGATCTCGAGGCACGAAGTGTCTGTTGCATCCGGTATTCATGTGGCCTGGGAATGGAGTTCTGGGAAGTCGAAGAGCACGAAGTGTGTGACTGTTGGTGAAAAACGAGCCCGGCACCCTGCCGCCCGGCAACTCCCCAACACCTGCCCGGACCCCCCTGTGGAGTGATCTGAGAGCTCTTTTGAGTCAACTAGAAACCTATCAGTCTTCGCTGTTAGGTAAAAACACGACATTGGCCATCTGAACGACCTGACCGGTGGCGAGAAAAGTGGAGGCGGCAGCTGCACGCCCTGCCAGGCGGCCAAAACGCGGGAGGGGAGGCGGCACGGAGAGGAGGGGACGACGGCGACGGGAGAGGAGAGGGACGAGGAGGGCGAAAAGAGAGCGCGCGCAGCATCGGACATCCTACCCAAGAAGCGACGGACCTGCAGGCCACCCGATCAACTCGTGCCCCCCCGATGCAAGCGGCACGGCGAGGAGGCGCCGAGCCCGACGGGCAAACGCATTGCCCCGCCGACCTGCCCGCCCAACAAGCAGAGCGAAACAGAACGGCCAGGGCCCCCCGCGCGCCCGGGGGACCCGGGACAAAAAGAGCCTGGACCCGGAGGACCGCAACAAGGGCGGGGGAAGGGGGAGGGGGGAGGGGAGAGGGGGGGGAGGAGACGGACCACCGAACCCACCAAGGCGGCGAGTGCGGGGAGTGGACTCCCACACAACCCCCTGGCGGAGGACGCGGGTCCTGGCGGCTCCCCAGGAAGAAACGCCCATGTGCGGGGTTTGGACCCAGAAGGCCCGGCGCCCCCCCGCCTGCAATGGGGGGCGCGTTGGGCCCGACACCCCGCACATGGGGGTGTCCCTCCGGGCGCGCTCACACACAAACACACGAAGCTGGACGTCAGCGGGTGGCAAAATACCACCAGCGCGGGACCTCCACACACACACACCTACACACCTACACTCCTACACACCTACGAACCTACACACCCACACACCTACACACCCACACACCTACACACCTACATACCTACACACCAACACCTACACACACTTGGCAGCGCGCAGAGGGGGTAGAGGGAGGGAGCGCGGGCCTTACATCTACAGAGAAGGCACCCGCCTGCTAAGAAGCAGGGTGCTTCTAAGACTCCTTCCTTGTTGGCGCCGCGGCCACGCGCGCAGCGACGCGGCGGAGGCAGGCCGAGCGGCCGAGGAGAGCCGAGTGGAGCAGAGTTTCGGCCGCGGCTGAGCACGCGGGCAGCCAAGCAGGAGCGCACAGGGCTCGCCCAAAGGGAACCACGCTGCCACCCACGCGTACATACCCATGCACACACAGCCACACACACACACACACACACCCAGGCGCACGACGCGCGCTGGGTGCGGGGAAGGTATGCGGGGCCGAGATCTGCCCGTGCCCCTGACCACTCCTGGGGCACATTCGGGCCATTCTGTCGGGGCGAATCCGGCCGTGGCGAGGAGGGAGTGGCAGTGGCATCGGCATCTCTCCCTGCTACTACCCTCGGCAAAACGCATCTCAAACATGTGTCATACGGTTTCCTTGTCGATGTGTGACGTCCTGGGCTTGGGTGACACTGCGCGCAAAGTACTCGTTTTCGGTCGGGCATGCCCTCCTACAGGCGGACTTTGGAGGACAAATCAAAAATAGTCAAACAAATACTCAAAACTAGTCAAACATATCCAAAACATCGTCCCAAGTCTATGTTGGGGCTATGTTTGAATCTTCCTCCTGTAGAGGGACATGCCCGACTTAAACTTGCTGGCGCCCCCTCTCCCATGTCGGTCACGGTGGAACTTCCGAGTCGCCCGCCCAATCCGCGCTTCGCTCTGCTTCGACGCTGAAGGGGACGACGCTGCAGGGGTAAGAAGGGGCGACGTTCCAGTGGCGCGTCAACCAGTCTTGATGTCAACTTTCTCGAGAGTTGTATGCCACGTGAACTCGCGCATCGCGCCACGCGGCGGCGCGCGATTCTCTCTGCGCCCTCGCGCCTCCCCATGGGAGAAAGGCAACGCGCTCTGGCCCAGACCGCGACACGAGAAGCGAGACGACCTTCGCGCCCCGCGGGTGGGGGGAGGAGGGGGAGGAGGAGGAGGAGGACGAGGAGGAGGAGGAGGAGGAGGAGGAGGAGGAGGAGGAGGAGGAGGAGGAGGAGGAGGACGTCGACCAAGACGAGGAGGACGCGGAAGCGGAGGAAAAGGCGGAGGAGGCGGAGAAGGAGATGATGATGGAGGAGGAGGAGGAGGAGGACACGACACGAATATCGCGATGACCTTCGCGCCCCGCGGGTGAGCTGGCTATCCCCCCTCTGAGTGCACAGGGCGGTGGCGAAAAAGATGGAGGGTGCGCCGCTGGATCTCCACAAGGGGAGGGGGGTTAGTGACCCCCTCCCCCCCCGCTTCCCCGATCTGTCGTCGGGGACCCCCCCCCCTTCCCCCCTTCCCCGATCCGTCGTCGGGGACCCCCCCCCTCCCCTCTCCCCTCCTTTCCCCGATCCGTCGTCGGGGACCCCCCCCCTCTCCCCCCCTTTCAAAAGGGGGGGGGGGTCCGACCCCGGGCCATTTTGGCCGCCCACCCCCCTCCCCCCCTTTCGCCACGCCGCCCCCTGACTCCGGAACCCGACCCCCGCCACCCCTACCCCTAGTCCTCACCCTAACCCAAACCCCTAATCCTAACCCAAACCACTAACCCCAGCCCCAAAGAGGACTCACTACTCATTACTCACTACCCACTACTGACTACTCGCTATTCGCTACTCACTTCTCACTACCCCCTACTCACTACTCGCGACTCACTACTCGCTATCCACTACTCACTACCCACCACCCAGTACGCGCTACTCACTACTCCCTACTCCCTCCTCCCTCCTCCTTACTCACTACTCACTACTCACTCCTCACTACCCACTACTCAAATACTCACTACTCACTAAGCACTACTCACTACTCACTGCTCCCTACTCACTACTCACTAATCACTACCCATTACCCACTACCCACTATCCACTACTCACTACTCATTGCCTACAACTCACTACGCACTACCCACTACTCGCTACTCGCTACTCGCTACTCCCTACACAAGACTGATTACACAGTACTCAGTACTCATTACTCGCTACCCCCATACTCGCTACTCAATACTCACTACTCACTCCCCGCTACTCACTATTCACTACTCACTACTTACTACTCCCTACTCACTAGTCACTAGATAGTCTCTAGTCACTAGTCACATCTCACTAGTCACTAGTCACTACCCAATACTCATTACTCCCTACTCCCTACTCAGTACTCAATACTCGCTACTCGCTATTTACTACTCACTACTCACTACTCGCCACTCACTACTCACTTTTCAGTACACACTACTCAGTATGCAATGCTCACTACTCCCCACTCCCTACTCCCTACTCCTACTCGCCACTCACTACCCACTACTCAAGACCCAATAGTCACTACTCACTACGTACTAACTCACTACTCATTACTCACCACTCCCTACGCCCAACTCCGTACTCCCTGCACGAGGGGGGGGGGGTCCGACCCGAAGTGGTACGAATTACAACCGACTAGGACCAATCCGAACCGTTCGGGGTGAATTGCAACCAGAAAAGAGACCAATTCCAACCACAAATGAGACCAATTCCAACTCAGCCAAAAATGAGACCAATTCCAACCACGGATGGGATCTTCAGAATTCCTCAGGATTCTTCAGGACTCCTTCGGAATTCCTTGGGATTCCTGCTGAACTCCTCACGATTCCTTCGGAATTCCTTAGGGTGCTTTCGGAATTCCTCCGGCTTCCTTTGGAATTCCTTCGGAATCCTTCGGCATCCTTCGGGATTCCTTGTGGGTTCCTCCTTCGGGATTCCTTGTGGATTCCTCCTTCGGGATTCCTTGTGGATTCCTCCTTCGGAATTCCTTTGGATTCCTCCTTCGGAATTCCTTTGGATTCCTCCTTCGGAATTCCTTTGGATTCCTCCTTCGGAATTCCTTTGGATTCCTCCTTCGGAATTCCTTTGGATTCCTCCTTCGGAATTCCTTTGGATTCCTCCTTCGGAATTCCTTTGGATTCCTCCTTCGGAATTCCTTTGGACTCCTCCTTCGGAATTCCTTTGGATTCCTCCTTCGGAATTCCTTTGGATTCCTCCTTCGGAATTCCTTTGGACTCCTTCCTTCGGAATTCCTTTGGATTCTCCTTCGGAATTCCTTTGGACTGGAATTCCTTTCTTCGGAATTCCTTTTGGGTTCCTTCTTCGGAATTCCTCCGGACTCCTTCGGATTCTTCGGAATTCCTCAGCCTTCCTTTTGATTTTCTGGAAATTCTTCGGATTTCTTCAGGATTCTTTCGGAGTCTTCGGGATTCCTCCAGATTCCTTCGGATTCTTGGGAATTCCCAAGGATTCCTTCGGATTCTTCGGAAGCCCAGGCACCCTTCGGAATCCAAACCAATCATCAGGAATCCGTTCGGAATCCTTAGAAATTCCTAGGGAATCTTTTTTGTTGGCCTCCATTCTATGCGATACCGAAGGTTGTCCTTCGAACTTGCCACATGGGGGCCTCTAGGGTTCTCGTTGCAGGGCCTCGCCATCCATTCGGGGGGGGGGATCTGCGAAACTGTCGCCACTTTTGAGGGGTGCTGGTGGGCCCAGTGGAGTGGCGTCCTACAGGGGGCCCTAGAAGAGCCCGAAACGGCCCTACTACTACTACTACTACTACTACTACTACTACTACTACTACTACTACTACTACTACTACTACTCTACTACTACTACTACTACCACTACCACTACCACTACTACACTACTACTACTACTACGACTACTACTACTACTACTACTACTACTACTACTACTACTACTACTACTACTACTACTACTACTACTACTACTACTACTACTACTACTACTACTACTACTAACTACTACTACTACTATCACTACTACTATGACTACGACTATGACTACGACACCGTTTACGACTACTACTACTAGTGCTACTACTACTACTGCCACTACGGCTACCACTACTACTTATATTACGATTCAGACTATTACAACTACGACTACGACTACGACTACTTCTACTACGACTGCTACTACCACAACTACTACTACTACTACTACTACTACTACTACTACTACTACTACTACGACTACTACTACTACTACTACTACGACTACTACTACTACTACTACTACTACTACTACTACTACTACTACTACTACTACTATTTGTCTTACTGCTACTACCACCACTACTTCCACTACTACTTCTACGATTACGACCACTACTACTACTACTACTACTACTACTACTACTACGACTGCTGCTACTACAATTGCTACTTACTTTATTTTTCACTACTACTACGACTATTTCTACTACCACTACTGCTACTACGACCGCTACTACTACTACTACTACTACTACTACTACTACTACTACTACTACTACTACTACTACTACTACTACTACTACTACTACTACTACTACTACTACTACTACTACTACTACTACTACTACTACTACTACTACTACTACTACTCTACTATTACGACCACTACTACTACGACTACTACGACTACTACTACTACGACTACGATTGCGACTCCTACTGCTACCACCACTACTACTACTACTACTACTACTACTACTACTACTACTACTACTACTATTACTACTAGTACTTCTGCTACTACCACTTCTACTACTACTACTACTACTACTACTACTACTACTACTACTACTACTACTACTACTACTGCCACTACAGCTACTACTACTACTACTACTACTACTACTACTACTACTACTACTACTACTACTACTACTACTACTACTACTACTACTACTACTACTACTACTACTACGACTACTACGACTACTACGACTACTACTACTAGTACCAGGAAGATCCATTTGCATATTTTAGAATCGATGTTTACGCTTCGGTGCCCTCTTTGCTCATCTTAACGTAGTGCTCGTGTGCAAACCAAAACTGAGACCAATTCCAACTCGAGCATGCATGTTGGCTTCCAGATCCTGTGCGCTGACATAAAGAATGTCACTTGGTCTTCGCACTCGTCTTGGGCTTCTCTACAATTAAAATCCTATTGTGGGCCTATCCCAAGATGGTTGGGATTGGGCCCAGTTTGCTTTTCGCACTGGTTGGGATTGGTCTCAGTTGGTTGGGATTGGGCCCAGTGGGTTGGGATTGGGCCCACATGCGGGTCCGACCCCCCCCCCCTTTCCAGCGCCAAGGGGGGGGAGGGGGGGGGAGGTCTGGACCTCCCCCCCCCCCTCAAGGGAGGGGGAGGGGGGTTCTGGACCCCCCCCTTTAGTGTATTTAGTGTATTCAATGTATGTGCCGCCCGCGGGCCCCATGCGGCCCCGCCCGGGCGGGCGCGAGAGACACTCCGCGCGACCATCGTCCGAGCTCCCCTGAGGATTCCGGTGGCGAGCGAGGGGGGGGGAGCGAGGAGGCGACTGCCTTCTCGGGAGGCGGAGCGAGGGGCTTCCCCGAGGGCCTCCGGCCTTCGGGGAGGTTTTTTTTTGTTGTCGGGCAGGCGGAGAACACTTCTCAGAGGGCGCGGGGGGGGCTGCCGAGCGCCCTCTCGAGGAGGCCCGCCGCCCCTTCTCGCTTCGCCCCCTGGGTTGGCCGCCGAGCCGTGCGTAGTGTCTAAACGGAGAATGTGGCGTCAGAGAGGTCATCGCTGTGTCACTAGAGGCCTCCCTAATGTCAGGGGGGCGTAAGACCCGGGTACAGGGGACTCGAAAATCCCCGACGAGGTCGTCAAAAAAATGACGAGGCCGAGCCTGCATTTTGACGAGGCCTCCCGCTGCAGACATCCCACGAAACTCCTACTCGTCAAAATCCGAATCGCGATCGTCAAAAAACGATGGCGAACCCGAGTCCTGGCAAACCCGGGTCTTACGCTCCCTCGATAATGGGGTCCGGGTAGATGGGGTCGGTGGATCGCGCCGCATGGACGATACGTCGCCGATGCATCTGCGATGCATCGGCGACATCGGCGATGCTTCGGCGACGTCGGCGTGAAGAAGATAGGGCTCCGCATCGCCGATGCATCGGCAATGCGGCGCGATCCGACGACCCAGTCTGCTCGGACCCCATCTGCGAGACATAGGGTCACAGCGACCTGTACCTTGGCGCGGCCTGTGCGGGTCGTTCTCGAGGTGGGCATCGTCGCCGGTGATGGAGGCCCCCCTGTCCTCCGCGGCCGGGCCGCGCAGGCGCACGCCCCTCGGCAGGCCTCCCCTGCTTACGCTGCCCGGGGGCCTCTCGGAAACAGTGTGAGCGGCCGCGGGGGCAGCACGCGACGCTCATGTCGAGGTCGGCCCGAGGGACCCTCCAGAGAAGTCAACCCCGTTGCGGTTGTGGTTATCTGTTGCGCCCAGAGCGGCGGTGCGCCAGAGCTGCTGATAATTCCAATTGTCGCCCGTTGCAATCTGTTCGCTGCGAGGCGGAGGTTTATCAATAGCTACCGCCTGCGGGATCGCTGCTCGGGGACCTTGGCAGGCGGTGGATATGGACATATGATCCAGGGTGGGGGACCAGGCCCTCCCACCCCACCAGACCCCAATGCTAGAGGGATCAGTCCCCCTGCCCCCTTGCCGGGCCCCCCCTCTGTCGGTGCGGCGTGGTACTGCGCATGTGGTGTGGTCCTGCCGTGCACCCCCTCCCCCCTTTTTTTTGACCTCCACGGGCCCACCGCAAAGTGCAAGCAACTGGCAAGGCGGGACCTGCCAGCTCTGAGAAGACCTCGCCTCGGCGAGAGCCGCTATGGGGAGGGGGCTTCGCGAGTTCCTTTCGGAGCGCCCACTATGGCCCCCTCCATGTGGGTGTGGCGTGGGGATGTGGTGCTTCGGGAAGCTTGAGGGCGGCAGCCTTCCAGCGCACGGGGAGTCGGCTCCCACGAAGGACGTCCAAAGGTCGTTGTCGTCATCGTCATCGTCGTCCTCGCCGTCGTCGTCGTCGTCGTTCCCCCCTTCCAAGATAGGGGGGGGGGGGGCTGGGAAAGCCCTGGGACCCATCCCATCAAGGGGGGGGGCGGCTTGTGAACCCTCGACCTGTGATCACACGTGCCCCCCCCCTCCCCCCAGAGCCCGAATCCCACCAGCCCTAGGGCGTGAGTGGTTTAGAGCGCTTCCTCTTCCAACCCACTCCTTCCCCTTCGGGATGGGGCTCACTGTTCCCCGTTAATAAGCACCCCCCCCAGGCGGCAGCCAGCCCAGGCGACAGCCAG